GAAGAAGAAAAAGAAGGACGTTAGAAATACTTTTTTCTTTTTTTTTTCTTTTCATATTTTTTATAATACGATATTAGAAGCAATGAAGGAAAATTTCTCTGAAGAAAAACAAAAGAATATATATATATATATATAATTTTTTTTTCTTTTTTTTATTGATACATTATTGATATAATATTTGATTCGATTTTCGAGATTTTCAATAATATTCTTTGATAAGTCGATATTCACGAATAAGGGGATGTGAGTCTTATATAGTCAGCCAAATGAGTACTAATAGACTGTCTCTCTCTCTCTCTCTCTCTCTCTCTCTCTCTTTTTTTCGTCTGCTTAGTTAATTAATTATTGCTATTTAGGTATCGATTATATGAATTATATATCTTACATAAAATATTTTATATATATATATATATATATAATTATTTAAATTTTTAATTTCATATTAAATTTAGAAGTATAATTAAATTGATATTACATGGAAGAAAAAAAAATGTTAATTATATCGATTCAATCGTAGAACAATTTCGTTCATAATGAGAGTCGAATCTTAAAATATTCTTATGATAGTCTTAGAATTGAGCTTAGAGACGTGTTCCGATAACGTGATAATGTCAGGATTGTTACAAGCAGAAGTTTCGTAAGATAAATCTCAAATTTAACCGCAGTTTGATCCTTCGAATCTTTCATCGAAGGATTAAGAAGGGTTAAGGACACAGATACATACGCACGAGGACAAGGATTAAGAACATAGATACATACGCACATACATACACACAGACACACACACGCACATAGGTAGTGACATAGATATGTAAGAATATATATATAGGGATGAGAAAAAAATTCTCAATCTCGTCCTTTCGACATAAAATTTACATATTAGAGTTGACTGGGAAAATATGTCAAAGGTAAATTTATACTGGTAGAATTATATTATCATTATCATTATCATTATTATTTTTATTCCACTATCGTCGTCATCATCATCATCATCATCATCATCATCATCATCGTCATCATCATCATCATCATTATTATTATTATTATTATTATTATTATTATTATTATTATTATTATTATTATTATTATTATTATTATTATTAGGTCGAATATATGAGTCGTTGATTTTGAAAGTGGGGTAAGTGCATTTTGTGAAAAAAATACTTAAGGCTAATTCTTATTACAAATTAACATAAAATTTATGTTTTTATTTATGTTTTTATGTTTATATATATATATATGTGTGTGTATTAGAACGGGGGAAAAAAAAAGAAAAAAAAGAGAAAAAAAATATGGACTTGCCCCACTTTCAAAATCAACGATTCATATATTTTTTTCGTTGCCGTTGTTTCGTGAATTTAGTGTTCTTGGTTTTGCAAGAATAGCTTCTTTTCTTTCTTTTTTTTTTTTTTTTTTTTTCTTTTTTTTGGTTTGTTCTGTTTTACGATAATGATGACGATGATAATTATGATGACGCTGATGTTGATGATGAAAAAAGACACTAGATATATCTGTTGCCATGCCTGACTAGTGATACGAGTCGCTACTACTACTACTACTAACGTATTTACCACCAATCCAAAGCTTATATCTACTTATATACCAACAGAAACTTAGTACTTCGATCATTAAATGTCAAAATGGAGAGCATCAAACGGGGATAACTTTACGATTATCACTAATGACTTCTATCAGGGCCGTACTCTCAATTAATTTCTATAAAAAAAAAAAAAAAAAAAAAAAAAAAAAAAAAAAAAAAAAAAAAAAAAAAAAAAAAAAAAAAAAAAAAAAAAAAAAAAAAAAAAAAAAAAAAACAATTTTTTTTCAAAATATTCACGTGACTCTTATATTTTATTCCTCTTCAACTCGAACGTTCTTGTATACGTTTTATTTTTTTATAAAATAAATTTTTATACAAAAAATTTTTTTAATTTTTTCAATTTAATAAATTAATAAATAATAATAATAATATTAAATTTTACCATTAATTTTCTACATGAGCATTAACGTGTATATATAAAAGAAAAAAAAAAAGAAGAAAAAAGAGAAAGAAAAAGAGAACTAACCAAAATAAATAAATAAATAAATAAATAAATAAATAAATTAATTAATAAATAAATAAATATAAGAAAAAAATCCACTTCATCGCCGATTTTTTTTCCTCCATCGTCCATTCAAAAATCTTGACAATTTTATCATTACCGAAGATATCGTATTCGATTGTTCGGAATTCTTAAAAAGTTTTGTGGAGGATATGGTGGTGGTGGAGGGGGAGGGGTTAGGAAAGGAAAAAGAAGATAATTTCTTTCATTGTAAGGGAAATAAAATAAAACAAAAAAAAAAAAAGAAAAAAAAAGAGAAAAATATAAAAATAAATGGATTGCGTCGTCCCTGTGGAATCGATGAGGGGGGATGGGGGAAATGGAGATCCGAAGTCTCATGAATGAACGCACATTCTTAGTTTTGTTCGTTGACCCGTAAAAAAAGAAAAAAAAAAAAA